TGCATAAGCTATTTCCCCCTTCTCTACCTTTTCTTATTTCCTCTTAGGTTTGGTGTCAGCATGGCTGTGATAATTAGGATCACTGCTGGGGTACAGAAAAATGGTAGGGATGGTTCTAAACATAACTACCTTGGTCGCTTATTGTCCCTTGACTATAAACATTAAAACTCAGAGTGCCTGATGTTCACTGTTAATAACATTTTTTATGTGATCGCACCCTTTTATAAACTGCATCTATGTGACTAAAAATAATAATAATTTTAAAAGACTACATATACTCTGAAAAATGATGAAGAAAATTGGGCAGATACTCTGAGATATTATAAATTTATATGTCATTTATTTTGCAGGCATACAGTTCTTGGTTTATTTAAATAGTCTCTTCTATTTTATTGGTGAAAATTTAGTTTAGTATTAGAGGTTTTATGAATAGACCTTTTTCACTGTGAACTCTGAAGATGTAAAAATGTTCTTTGTCGCTGCAAATGGCCATAATGAAACAATTCATAGGTTATTAGAACAAGAAGGAAATTCTATGCAATTAGGTGCTACTATATGCAAATTTTTTCCCAAAGGATGTTGAATTTAAAAACTCACTCGTTATATAAATTTAAATTTTTAAGTGGAAAATAAAATTTCTAGCTTTGATCGATTTTATCGATGGCTTAGACAGCTAATATGTGAACAATTAAAAGCAATTTGTGTTGCCCAAACTTCTCTATCAAATATTTCAAAAGATTAACTTTATTAAAATCAGACTTTAGAATCAAATATATATCAGTGTCTCTAATAGTAAAATCTCTGGTTACTAACAATTATTTAGAACATTGTATATTCCCAATGACACTATTAAATTTTTCCATACCACACATATATGTAATAACAACAGGAAGTTCTGCATTTCTTAATTGATCTCTATCAGATGTCACCCATTGGGATACCAAATTATTTTTTTACAAAAGCAAGTTACTAAATGTCTTCTTGGTCTTGGAATTAAATTTCCTGAAAGAGGAGCATTATTCTCTCTTTTGTGCATATATCTACCAATTAGACCTTTTCCTTTTTCATAATCTCAAACAAATAAGTGACTATCACCAGGTGCTATAGTGGTTCTACTCATATTAATCAAGAATTATTAAAAATAATCTGTACTCAAGGCATGGTAAAGATCATAAAATAATATTCATAATATCAAATATGAACACTCATTTTTTTGCTTCATGTTAGAATAAAATCCACAAAGGGAGGAAAAGAGAAAACACAACAATCAACAAGAATCATATCTAGTAAATATTGAAAGTATTATTCTAC